GCATATATGAATAAATATAAAGGATACATTGGAAGCTGTAAATAAAGTATTTAATTATATAATTAATCGATTTGAAAATTTTGACAGAGATAATTATCATAGATTAAGGCTGAAGAACATCGTCACATATCTGCTCTAAAAACATATCATCACACACGAATTTTATATCAAATTAATGTGCATAATTAGTAGGACAGTAAAATGCATTAATTAATGACAACTAATGAGAAAATTAATTAAAAACAAAAATTAATTAATTTGCACGCGTTTATCACAAAATTCGCTATAAAAATGGCCGCCATCAAAGACGAACCGCTATGAAGAACTAAACAAATCAAATTGACAATGTCGAAAGCGCGAAATTCAAATTTCAAAACTAAAAATTACTAAATTCGAAAGATTACAATGCTGAGTAACGTCCAATAGCAAAAATTGGATAGATATTATAAAAATATTGTTTAATTCAAACTAAATGTTCTGATTGTTTTGAATATCTAAATTAATTTCATATATATTATTTTTTGCATTGTGTAATTATAATAAAGGGTAGTCTCCACGAAGGCAGGTCCATGGTATGAGAGTCTCGACAAATAAATGATTCTCCTACCCATACTCTTCTTTTATCTATGCTCCTACCCTATGTTCTCTATCATTTCCATTGCCACTATTCTCCTCCCCCTTTTTGCATGTATTTTCCTTTCCAAGCTTCTATGCATCCTGATCCTGCGCTTCGACTTTCAGTTTCCTGTATTTTCTCTTGTCGCGTAAGTCGTCAATAATTTTCATCGTTCTTCTTTCCATTTCTTTCAGTCCTTTGATTTTGCCCTCGAGGCATCATGCAGAAGGCACTCTTTGCAGAACGGGTTCTATCCAGTTTTCTTTTCGTTTCTGGATTGTGCTCTGTAGAGTCCTCTCTTCGCCCAAGTGTCTCCAGTGGTAGTTCTTGATGACCTTTCTCAGAGTCTATGTCTCTGATCCGTACAGAGCTATGGTCTAAACATAGCACCTTATTAGTCTCTTACGCAAGTGAAGATTCAATTTGCTCATCAGTATAGCATTCTGTAAATGCCGCCTTGGCACTTGCAATCCTTGTCCAGATCTCTCTTTCTAAATATTTGAAATGATCCACGTCTTCTAATTCTCGTTTTCCTTCCATTATCCTCAAGGGATCATCTCTTTTTGTGATCTTCATCACTTTTGACTTCTCGATGTTGATTTCCACTAGATCATCAATCCAGTGTACATTTTTGTATTGATTTTGATTCCTCCAATCGAAAAATCTCCATTGTCATCATCCGTACAGGTTGAATAGGATCGGTGACGTGCAGCATCCTTGCCGCACTCCTCTACCTATATCAATGTTGTTTGTATCTCCCTGGTTCACTCGAACCTTTACTTTCTGTCCCATATACAGATTCTGGATAAGCCTGCAATCTCTCCAGATCCGTAGTATTGAAATTAAATTAGCAGGTTTATTAAATTTCACTTGGGTATTTGTCAAAATTAATAACCATTTTCACTAAGTAATTTTGTCTTATTCATTTGTTATGTATTGTATTCATAATATTGAAATAATGTAAATAAAATACACATATTCATTTCAGAAAAATGTATACTTTCAAGGATATGGTTTACAAATGCACTACAAACAACTGATTCAAAACATTGGATGCACGCATTTCCATTCATTCATACAAAAAAGCAATATTCATGTTATATTATAATATTTATATATTTATATGTATACATATATATATATATATATATATATATATAATTAAATTAGTACAATTAAACTGATTTTTTTCTCTTTAAAAAAACAAACACATTTTTTAATGTGTTTCTATTTCTCTTCACATAATTAATTCTATGGGTGCTTTCATGTGCGCATATGTACATGCTTACATCATTCAAATGTATATACATATGCGCACACCATAATTCATATATGTAATTATATAAATTATACAATCGACAAAATGCAACATAGTAAAATATTAAAAGTTTTCTCGAAAAAAAAAAAAAACACATGCCATTTTACATGTTAAATTGTGTGATAAATGGATTGGCCCTTTCCAAATTATCACGACATGTATAACACATGTTTTTTTTTCTCTTATATATATTTTAATATAGTGGTTTTATAATTCTACCACTTTTTGAAGAGGTTGTTTGAAAACTCTCTTGTAATTTCAGAAAGATTCTAATAGAACGTTTATTTACTGCCTATTTTTTGTTCAGAATCGGAAGAATAAAAAAAATATTTCACTCCAGCTTTTGTTTGTTAAATACTGTGTTATTGAAATGTATCACTCATATCATCCAATCATATGTATATAAATATACATGCATAATTTTGTACAGATGCTACATGTTGAATAAAATCTCAAGCAAAAATTTTCTTGCTATCCAAAACTCAGCATTGTACTTGGAGTTTGAGATTAACTTTGAAAATCAAATGCATCACATTAAAAGATGATTTTTCATAATTTTCTTTACAAATTTATATTATTATATTATGGATGAATAATAATATACAAATCATGAGTTGTTACTAGTAACATTTTCATATCTTAATACAGAGTTCAGATTGAATCAATTGAATAAGCGGTTAACTTTGTTGAACTTATTTTGAAGTATGAAAGTGAGAATGACATAGAAAAAATTCTAATCAGGTTTTAGAGAAAATCATACACTTTATATTCATTCAAGTTTTACGCTTTATCATGATGTGTGGAAAAATCTATTCATAATATATATTTCTTCATTCCAATTAAAAGAACTATTGAAATGGTATGAATTATAAAATACAATAACATATATGAAAAATAAAATTATTGAGCATTTTACTAAAAGAATTGATAATACACGGTGATGATTAAATTTAAGTTTCAAGTTATGTCAATTTCTTGGCATTACTAGACGCTGCATTAATTATAGTTCTACATTATAATGTCACATTTCATTATTTTTATTAAATAGCTTAATTATTATAATAAATGCGTTGTATGTCTCAAACCCGTTTAAGTAAAACAATATTTTAGCTGCTATAAATGCCAAGAAAGATATTCCAAGAAAAATGGGTTGTACAAAAATGGTTGTTTTTGGATTTAAAACATTTTTATATAAACTTTTGCTAACTATTTAAAATTCGTACAAATACATTCTTAACATACCAACAACGTTAGATGTAAAATTTAAATCAAATGCTCGAATATAGTTTTAAATAGATCACTAGCCATTGGCATGTCAAGAATAGTATTTGTATTTGACTCAATAATCTACGTTCTTATTTACCTCAAATACAGAATTATATAAACAAATAAATGTAAACTTAAATTAACATTTAAAAATCTTTGTATGCGAGTGACAATTTTTACATGTATCAACTTAATGATCAAGCTAAATAGTTGTTTGTGCAATGGACTGTTCAGTTTTTCATCGTTTATAAAATACTTATATATTTTTGGGACTCAAAGAGCATTCACATATACATTATCAAAAATTCACTTTTAAAGTGATTTTATTTACTCTAATATATCTTGTGGTCTACACAGGAATAAGTTATGTCTTAAATAATGATGATCAAAAATAAAAAGTACATGCAAAAATGTACCCACAGCATATTACGTACATATCATTTGTGCAGAAAATTTTATAAACTTAATATTCTATATAAAATTGATTCTGAATCTGGATCTTTAACGTATGTCAGATTTAATATATTAATTAATTACACTCTTTTAACTACAAAATATAGAAACCTAGAAAAGTATTGATGGGAAATTTATAACTAAAATATTGAAACATTTCGGTATTTTCGGTGCATTTACATATGCCTGTTACAAAATTTTTAGATTTTTATTGTTTGAATTCATACTCGACACCTATATTTATATTAATAATATTATGTATATATATATGTAAAAAAAAATTGGAAAAATTTACATTGTGCGACGTTTTTTTTTAAATGTAATTTTATTTCTCTTTATCATTTTTGCGTTCATAGAACAGAACATATTATTTATATTATATATATTATATTAAAATTTGGTTTATGAAATACTTGTTCGATATTTTTTCTCTTTGATTTTTGACTTTCAAATATCGAAATTGTATTTTTGTTAATATTTGCGTTTCTTGATTTATTTGAACTCACATTGCTCATCTACATTTTGATTCACACATTTATCTAACTTCAAGATTAATCTGTGTTTCTTATGACCAGAATTGGGTATGATGTAGAAATTTGACGCATTCATTAATATTCTATTTCAAACCAATATTTTCACCACCATACGCTTTCAAAGCTCAATGAAATTAATAGAAAAATTAAGAACACAACAGTTAAGGATTAGCTAAAAATCTGTACAACTTAAATAATAGCTATATAAATTCTTTTTTAATTAAAATTGCACACATTTCCTATATAAATATATACACATTTTACATGCATATTTTAATCATTACCAGTTAAATAATAATAAAATTGATGGCAAATTAAAAATATTCATTTTCATCACTTTGCAATATCTTTTGCGATTCAACTACACGATTTATTTCAAAGATGTTTTTTACCGTCAAAGAATCTTTCTTAAATACACTAACTTCTTTAAAATGCAATTCATAGGTATAATATATAATATATTAATTTAATTAATCATAAATTTATCGTTATTATATAAATTGATAATTTTTAACAAAATTTCCATACAATGGCACACTTTCCATGAAAACGAACAATTTGGCCTGCACACACTGATTTCTTGTCAGATTCAAAGACAGTCACATGTACATAGATATAAATATTATATGTAATAAATATATGTATATATGTACTCATTTTTATATCAGATAGTCCATTTGCCACCTCTACGTCAGTATAATTATTCCTTTCTTTCTACAGATGTATTTAACAGAGGATAACAGGTGTGTGAACTTCTTTCGACTTTTTTTAAATAAATTTTCTATCAATAAGTGGGTTCTTCCCGATTTAATAATTTAATTGTTAATTCAGCAATCTCCTATACGAGATTATATTCCTTTAAGTTCGATTGTAGTATCGTATCTTTGACGGCAGCGAACACGAATCGGATATTTTCGGTATCTGAAAAATTTCAATTTTTCATATGTTTCAATTTATAATTGCACTTATCTTTATAAGCCGTTTTGAAAGTATTTAAATTTATGACACAGAATTATATATCATATAGGCAATAAGGTACTTACCAGAGCATTAAACATAAAAAATAAATTTGTTAGCCGTTGTAAAAGACAACAATCATACACTTAACATTTATTAATATTACTTTAAATATTTTACAATAATTTACAGAAAACAAATATTAGTACACATTGAGAGTCATGGTTAAGGATAAAAAATTAATAATGGTTCTGAGTAATATTTTGATGCTTTTTAGCTCAATACAGAATAATATATTGAATTTTTTGTTCCAATGTTATCGACCACCCTATTATGATTCTTTTAAACGGTTTTAACATTTTCAAAATCGGTCCAGGATTTTTTGCGTAATCAAACTTATACTTCTGGAAGTAAATACATTTTGATAATTGTTTATGATAAATTCATATAAAACTTATTTCATGATAATTCTGTACTTGGTCATAAATTATACTGTACGATTCATTTTCTTTCAAAAGTGGCGTCGAGTTGCTCGTAATGTTCGAAACGGTGCAGGGAGCAATGCGTTAAAAAAAAAAAAAATCCGATCAAAAGAGTGAGTATAACACAGAAGTTAAGCAGATTTATCATTTATCAACCACATAAGAAGGTTGTTCGAGTGGATGGGAGATCATAAGCAATTGGAAAGTATTGGTTAGTATGCAGAGATTCTCATTGTAAGCAGAATTTGAAAGATTGTTAATTGAAGTATATATTTGCTATAACTTATATATCAACATAATCATACTTAACAAAACTTATAAAAAAGAGGAGCCTAAAATATCAAAACGTTACTCATCACCACAGTCTTAACAATGCACGACATTGAATAAATCATGTTAACAAAATTCTATATAATAAAAAAAACAAACTTTTACTAAAGCACACAACATGAAACATAACATAGGCATTTGTATATCCTCTTCCTTTACATAGAAATTTTTAAACTTTTTTCAAGCAAGGTTTGAATCTCTGAGAGCTGACTGCATAATGGTATCTTTAACAGCACAGAACACAAGCTTGATGTTTTCAGTATCTATTTTTATTGAATATAGTTTCATCATGCATTTTACGATTCCCATTGATTTTTTTTTCAGGAGTTTGCAAATATTTATCAGTTGTTCCATCGCAACAAGTTATGCATGCATAAAAAAACAGCATTAGATTAATTTTAGTAATTGACACATTTAATTTTGCATTGTATTAGAAATCTATTAAAAATGCAATGAAATGTGCATTGTGATATGATTGCCAAAGTTTTCAAAATGAAATCAAGCTATGCCTTATGTAAGATATTAATACAAAATGAATTAAAAATATTAATTACGAATGGTGAATTTTACAATAAATACACTATGTAACTACTTGTGAGGAATTATGTTTGCTAACTTTTTACATACTTTGTAAGTTTGATTATTAAACTTGATTGACAGAAAATATACTAAATGATATTGATAGTCATTGTAAATACCTCAAACCATAAAGTGTTGTCGCCCGCTTATCATAATAGTCCGCCCATATAAAAAATATTCGTGTTTTAACCTTTTTAAATGTAGTATCTTTTATTCGAAATAAAGAAATTAATATTGTAATTTTATGAAACTTATAAAATAAAGTTACATTAAAACTAACATTAGTGACCACAAACACTAATTATAATTGTAAAAAAAATTATCAACAAAATCATCTTTTTACCACAGAACATGCAAACATTTTGTAACATGCACAAACAATTATCAAATCAAGCTTTTTACCAGCTTAGTAAGTTTACCTGTGGCACATGTGAAATGTGAATAAATAATTTTCTCACTATCTGGATTCAGGTCAACAAACATTCTTAGAATAAATTCTCGAGCTGCTATAGCATCACGTTGAGGACCTGAGACGAATAAATGAATTTATGTGGAATGCGACATGATTTAAGCTGTGCAAATTGCTAAATAATTGATATTATTAATGGGTTTGATGTCTTCTTGCTGATTATATCACAAGCATGCTTTGTAAAATATAAGTATAATATTTATATTTTACAAATTTATAAATAAAAATATATATAATTGATACAAAGTAACATTCAATAATTAATGACTCAGATATAGATTACTTCAACATAAAAAATAAAAAGTAGATATAAAGTATTGTGATGTAATCAGTAATTTAAATAATGTTTGGCGGAAGAGCTACAAAATATTTGAAAACTACTATTTTTAAAATATACTTTTTCCAAAGATTACTAGTCTTTACATTTGCTAATGTAGCTAGCTACATATGGAAGATTTATGTGTGTGCAGAAGATATTTAGCTATCTAGCTATACTGAAATTGCATAATTATCATAAATTATTTATTCTATTATGTTGACCTGTAGCTGCTGTAAAATGTGAATAACACATTCGATCTTTGTCAGGATTCTGATCTAGATAAATCTTCAGAATAAATTCTCGAGCCGGTATATGATCACATTTTGGTCCTGATTATTTGTGTGAATATTGTAAAATACACATGCATTATTTAATTTAATAAAATGTATGAATTTTGTTGTCTCAGAGAGGTCATATAGAATTTACTTAATCATTTCTTAATATCAATATTACTAAGGCTTAAATCGGTAGACAATCTTCTATCTGTTTGAAGTGTTTGTTAAAGACATTTTATGGGAAACAAAGTGAAGTAGAGTCAATATTTCTCAAAAATCACACATATGACAAATTCTTACAAATTAACAGGTGTTTGTAGACTATTTCAATATTAATTCAACATACAAATATCAATGTAATTAATAAAAAAAATGTACTCAAATATGCAAAGTCATTTCAATGATTAGCAAATTAATAAAAATATATACCATCATATTCTGGGAAATAATCAACCAAATGAGAATACATGATCTTCTCCTCCAGCAAATCCTTCTTATTCAAGAACAGGATCACAGAAGAGTGTTGAAACCATGGGTATGTTATGATGGTTTTAAATAGCGCTTTTGACTCTTCCATTCGATTCTGAAAATATTAAATTTATTTGTATAATCTTTGTAAAATACATTCATAAAATATTAAGTAATGATATTTAGGTCAAAAATACATAGAACATATTGTGAAGTTACTTGCTGAACTTGGTATTTTTTCTTAACCAGATAGTATCTAGTATATGAATTAAAAATAAAGTAATAATTTAGTATTTTCTCATAAGTTATTAGCATCAGTTGTATGTGCCACTTATCTGACACAAGCATTGTTTTCGGAAAACGATGGTATGAAAACAATTATAAAAATGCAGTAACAAATATACAGTAAAATTTTTTTAATAAAGATTGGTTTTACAAATTGATTTGTTTGATATGATTGATATTAATTGATTAAGATAGATATGAATTATTAGGCCTTACAGTTGTTAAAAGTTATAAAGTTATCAATATTTATTGGTTAACATACCTCATTTTCAGATTCAAATAAAATCTGGTCATATTCGCTGAGCGCTACTAAAAATATTATGGACGTAACATTTTCAAAACAATGGATCCATTTCCTTCGTTCTGATCTCTGTCCGCCGACGTCTACCATCCTAAATTAAAAAAGTATGAATAATTTGAGTAACTTGGAATAGAATCAAAGCGATGTGTGTAGAATAAAATAAAAATATTATTGCATTAAATTAAATTTATATTTTACTGTACAGTATTTGTATAAATTTCAATTGTCGTATTTAAAAATATTTGAAAATTCAAAAATAATACAGCTACATAAAATAATGCTGTAACACGTGTATGTTACAAAATAAAATTTAGTTAATAATTTCAATAAAATATTGAAATTATAGATATTATTGACTATCATAAGTATTTCTATCACATGCAAGTTAAAGTACACAAACCAAAGCATGCTAGTTAAAAATAAGAAACATGCACTATTTTATTATACATATTGAACTGAACAAGACAAAACGAAAACGTTACCAAATCGTTTCGCAAAATTTAAACCCGCAGAATAAAATTTCGACACTTCTGTTGAGTCTATCAAAATTGTGAAGATGTTTAGATTAAACAATTAACAAAATTAAACATTGTTTTAAAAATCTTATGAGTAAGAAATACATGGGAAAGTTTACCTGAATACAATTGAGTCTAAATCAAATGGATACTCTATAATACCCGTTGTAGGAGCACGAGCCCGTAATATATCTTGTTCTGTGGGAAGGTAATTTGGATCTTCTATTCTCGCCAAATCGCTTAGATAACTTCAGAGCAAAAAATATAGAAAATAAAGCACTATAATCGCGTAATCTTTATTGATATACATATGTTTATTCATTGATGTAAATCAATAATTATTAAAATGACATTTTGGAAAATCATATGCTCCGGACTCCTGAATGACTGAATTTCACTGTAATAAAGTGTTGTATTAATAGTAAGCGCGCAAAACGAGCATGATATTTAAAATTTTTATTATTGTAACATTATATAAAATAATTTGCATAATTTTCACTATTGATGGATTGATTAAATATTACAATAAGAATGTATTGAGATACTAAAAATGTATGTTATTCATAACGCACTTTGTTCTCGACAAAGTATGAGTAATAGATATAAATTAAAATTCATTTGTGTTTATCAAAGTTGAGTATTTCACTGTTCTATTTTACAATTTGATATTATTTCATTAGTTTTAATACCGCTGGGTTCGTTATGTAAATCTATATTTAAATATTTGTACTTGATAGTTTTAATATTCGAAATGCGTTTTAAATTATCTGTCTTATTTTGAGTGTTTACTTTAAATTGCTTTATATTTAGATTTTGCTAAAAACAATTTTGTCATTAATAAAACTGAGTTTAGCAATCAGTCTTGGGTTAGTAATTATTTATACCTAATAAGAACAAATTTTATGAATGCATTAAAAATGCTTGTAAAATATTTAATAAACCCGAATTCAAAAAACTAACTCCTAGCAAGCTCAACTCCATCAAGTACATTGAAAATATGTTATAGTGTTCTTATACTGAACGTGCTGAAATATATTAAATATGCATTACAAACCAACAATTGTACTTAACTTAAAATACCTGAAGACATGAATATTATTATTTTAATATGCTTAACAAATCAACGATTTATATGTGTTTACGCTAGACTTATAAACCATAAATTAAAAATAATTTTATTAAATCATTTCAATATAATTTGTCACCAGTAAATAAAAATCATGCGCTTAAATACATCTCATTCCTAAAATAAAAAATATCATGCATAAGTGTGAGCAGGCAATCTGAAAAGTACAGTTAGTTACATTTGTTAATAAAATCCCAGTAGAAATATGAACATTGAGCATGCAATAAATAGGTTTCATGCTGACAAGGTAAAAAAAAATATTATTATTGGACAGTACCTAAACCTAATCTCCTCTAAATCGAATGGGTACTCAATGATTCCAGTAGTCGGCACTCGAACACGTAGAATGTCTTGTTCGGTCGGCAGGTAGCTGTGTGCTGCCACTCGGTCGATTTCCATTAAATAACTAATGAAGCATTTTTTTTTAAATTTTATATGCAACATTTTAACGTTATATAAATAATTCAGAACTTTAGTCTACCGACAATACTGAGCTTTATAAAAAATGAATATCAACTTAATTAATAGTGGCGTCATTCGGCATCGACAAACTCCTCGCACTTCAGGAGAACTCGTAAAATTAATAAATATTTGCAGCGTGTAACTTTTGTCAAAATATGATTTTTAATAAATTTCATTTGATTAGATTAGATTTCTTATGGGTCACACAACTTGAGTGAAGGGCACTTTGCAAACCCTAATTTTGCTGACCCTCTGTACTGCTTAGCACCGCTAATAAGAATTAATATCAATAACAATAAGAAGAAACCTTGAAGCTGTAGAAAAATAAAAAAAATGTTACAGACGATCACTCCTCCAATGATCAAAGACAGATTCAGTGTCATGTTTAGAGTCACATTTTAAAGTATATTTAACAAAATTTTTGATATAATATATATCGTATAAATCAGGGCTTCTTAAACTATAGGTCGCAACCCCAAATGAGGTCGGGTAGGAAAATTCTGGGGTCGCGAGAGATTTCAATGACAAATCTATCTATATCATTATATATAATATCACGTCTAGATTATTGTATTATTTATAACTTATTCGGCATGTGTATATTATTACCTACTAGGTAAAACATCTAAAAATATTCTTTTTCTTTTATATTTGTGTGGGTCGACAACAGACTCCCAATCATAAATGGAGTCGCAAATGACAAAAGTTTAAGAAGCCCTGGTATAAATGAATGTAATTTAATTACTATATTAACCCCTTAACTTACTATTTAGATTCGAAAATATTGGGCCAAAGTTGTACAAGCTAGGGTTCGTGACTATTTACCCACACAGTGTACAATTTTATCACAAAAAAACATCAAATTGTGTTTTATAGTTTCGTATGAATAAATATTTTGTAATACTTGCGATTACCATACAATAATACAATAATGCCCGTAATATTTGCTTTTGGCCCGATTATCGTAAGCGGGTTATGCCCTTAATATTTTTGTTTGGCCTAGCTATAATGCGCGGGCTATGCTCGTCTTGTAAGTTAAAGGGTTAACACCCTGAGCGCCACGTCGGTCACCGGTGACCGACATCGACCTTGTCGTTCAGGCCGCGTTCATCTCGAGTGAACAATGTATAAAATAAGGTAAAAATTCAACATTTTTTTCGAAAAACTTGATGGGTTTTATAAAAACACGCTAGATATAAAAATGCTTGTCAAGTGTCACAAAATGCTATAACCTTTTTAAGGGGGTTGTTCTTTTTTTTATTTTTCTTTGTTTCGGTTTTGAGATTTTTTGATATTATGAAAGATAAAAACCTTAGAATCATTTCAAAAAAAAAATCATATCAATATCTATTTTTTTGACGAAGTTATAGATATATATATCTCTATATGTATGATCCTCTGAAAGCGTTTTTTTATCGCTCCGCGAGCTATTGTATGCCAGATTCCTCTTTTTCATTATAATACCTCATGCACATGACCTTTTTAATGTGTCAGCATCTTTGAACACCATGGTGTATTTAGTACATTAAATTAAATGGTGTATTCAGTACATTATATTAAGAACTTTAAATACGTTTTTCTCAAATTGACTTTTTTCAATGCGGTGCCACAAATTAAACAAAAACTACAAGTCGGATCGACTTGCATTTTTTTTTAATTTGTTCACCACTGCAATATCGAGTCCCCCTACCTCAAACAACTTGATAACATTACGCAAAAAAATTTTGCGAAGCTTCTCGCCCCAAAAAAGGCCTTTTTTGACACTTTTTTTTAAAATAGCTGCCATTTTTTTCCTTCTTGCTTTTTTTCTTTTATTTTGGTAGGGGGACTGGAAACAAACTTCTTCTTCAACGTAATTTCTTTTTTTTTTGTTTCGGGCGATGCGCAACGGATTTATCTGTGGCACCGCAAAAGAGATCGATTTCGCAAGACCGACTTTGGCGCCCCCTGGTTAAAAAATGACGGCGCAAAAAGAAAAGAAGAAAATCACGTAATATTCCATGATTTTGTAATTTTTGTTTAAAAAAAACCGCATGTCTCTATGATAAATACATATCGAGAAAAAACAAAAACAAATACCTTGCATTTTTTGTAACGAAAAAAGAACAACCCCCTTAAACAAATTTCGTGCAACTTGCAGTATTATCGCACTATTGAAACTCGGCATGAACTAGAAGTCGCTATAAAACCGCGTAGCACACGACGTGTTAATTAAATCGATTTTGATTCATTGTAGTTGATTCATCATCAGCTTTTTCTTATGGTAGCTCTTCCTTTTTTTTAAAAAAAAAAAGAAGAGCGACTTATAGTTTGTATTTGCGTTATTTTTATTACTTACTATTTAGCCGAATCCGTAAGCTGGTACTCTCTCCGGCGATCATAGCATTCCTGAATGCCGCTGTCCGACCAGAGTTCTTTGATCGCACGCACATAGGGCTGCTCAAACGTCGTCACTGTTTCGAAATCTACTCCACGTATTAATTCCGCGTTTTCCTAAATAATTGCAACCGGTTATATTTAGTAAAATTCTATTGCTAACTTAACTAGCTGTAAGTGGAATTCTGTCTTAAGGCAATTAGGGCATCGTGCCTTAAGGCAAATTGCTGGAACTTCCCGTACCAAAAATTATTAATTTTTTAAAAACGATTAACATTTTTGAAAAAAATTTGCTTCGAAAAAATAAGATTTTTGAGAAACTATAAATTGGACAAAAAATTACTTTTTTTTGAAAAAAAAATTTTTTTTAATTTTTTTATTTTTTTTTTTAAAAAAAAAATGCTTTCTTTATTTTGACATATTTTGGAAGATCTGAACTTGTTTTTCAAAGCAATCGTACTGCTTTAACTGCATAGAGACATAAAGCGCGTAAGCGCGGCGTCGCTGTCTAACGGGTAAACATTGGTACGGAACCCATAGGAAAATAAACAAAATTTATACTTATTGTTAAAATCTCTATAAAATATCTGAAAATTTGATGTGCATATGTCTAATGATCATTTTTGACCGCCTTTAGCGATGATTATTTTTGACCGCTAGACCTGCCTTTATGAAAATTTGATCAATTCTTTATCTTGTCAATACAAGTAAAATGTTTTTTGAATGATTAAAATCGGACGCTCCGTTCTCTTAAAAACTGAGTTACCGTTTTCGGCACTTTTTGCCCCGTATCTCCGGAACGGCTAGACCTGCCTTCGCCAAAAACTAATCAGCACGTCTTCTTATCAATACGAATCGAATGTTTTTTGAATTATTCAAATCGGTTGATCCGTGTTCCCGAAATCGTCGACGAAAATTTGTATCCGCACATACATACACACACATACATACATACACACACACACACACACACACATACACACACACACACACACACACATACATCCATTTTTTCTAAGGTATGCCAAAATGTTCAGAAACCTCTGAAACGTAAAGATATATAAAAATTTTCATTTTCGATTTTTTTGCGATTACTATAACTTGCCCTACGGGAAGTTAAAAAATGCTGGTTAATTTATCAAACACGGGAATTAAAATATTAAATTGTATATACATTATTTAGTTATGAAGCATATTATCAATTTTAATTTCAGGCAAATTAATCAATTTAAATGAAATATTAAAATAAATAATGCGTTACACTTACTGAATTGTTTGCAATCGTGTATTGTATCTTAAGCAAATCCATGGCTCGTATCATGCTCTGCATCGCCATGAATATGTTTTGATAGACCAATTTGATGAAGCCGCGTTTGTCCTCGTCCGAATAACCAGCGCCGTGAATAATTCGCATTTGCTTGATGAACGTCGATTTGCCGGACTCACCAGTGCCTGGTTTATAAAACAGAATTTTTAGTGAACGACAAAAATGAAACTAAAATGAATTCATAAGTCTTAGAAAAAGCATGACAACAATGTAGAAATAACATTTCTTTTGCACGTTTTGGTGAAAACTGTTTTCTTCACTTACAAAACATTAATTGAAGTAACAATAATTACTAGAAACGAATTTCTTCATATCTGACAATTAGCTGTGGCATATACTTACTGTATAAATATAAATCATACCAGTTACTTTGAGCGTCGATTTTTTTTTAGAAGCATTGCATAACTTAAATTCAAAACCAATGAATTGATTATAATTTATTATTATCAACCATTGAAACAATACTAGCTAAAATATACAAAAAAGTATTTTTTATATAAAAAAAAACTGTTATGTAGTTCCTCTTAATTTAATCAATCAACTAGCGGGCCGCATGGCATCGTGCCTTAAGGCAAATTGCAGGAGCTTCCCGTACCAAAAATTATTTTTTTTTAAAAAGATTAACATTTTTGAAAAAATTAGATTTTTGAGAAACTATGAATTTTTGACAAAAAATTACTTTTTTAAAAAAAAATCTTTTTGAAGAAAAATTTATTTTGAAATATCTTGGAAATTCTGAACTTTCATTTCAAAGCAATCGTACTGCTTTAACTGCATAGAGACGAAATATCGAAGCGCGTAAGCGCCGCGTCCCCGTCTAACGTATAAACATTGGTACGGAACACATAGGAATGTAAACAAAATTTATACTTATTGTTAAAATCTCTATAAAATATCTGATAATTTGATGTGCATATGTCTAATGATCATTTTTGACCGTCAAATGGCATTTTTTTTTACTTTTTTTACTAGATCTCCGAAACCGCCAGACCTGCTTTCATGTAAATTTGATCAGTTCTTTATCTTGTTAATACAAGTAAAATGTTTTTTGAATTATTCAAATCGGATGCTCCGTTCTCTTAAAAACTGATTTACCGTTTTTGGCACTTTTTTCCCATATCTTCGGAACGGCTAGACCTGCCTTTGCCAAAAACTAATCAGCACGTCTCCTTATCAATACGAATCGAATGGTTTTTGAATTAATCAAATCACTTCATCCGTGTTCCCGAAATCGTCGACGAAAATTTGTATCCGCACACGCATACATACACGCAAACACACACACACATACATACATTCATTTTTTCTAAGGTATGCCAAAATGTTCAGAAGGTTTGAAACGTGAAGGTATAAAAAAATTTCATTTTCGATTTTTTTGCGATTACTATAACTTGCCCTACGGGAAGTTAAGTAAGTTTTGTCACATGCTTAAAATGCAATTGGCTTAAATTGCTAAGATTTACAGTAAAACTGTTCAGTTTTCATCGTATAATTTATCCTTTTCCAAAATTTGAGAATTAGCTTCTCTTTAAAATACATCAGTAAATTTAGTTATAAAAAATATCGGCTATATTTAACAAATTTACATTCTTTGCAAACGTTGTTCAATTTGTGCTTATCATGTCATAAATGATAATTTATAAGAAAAGTGAAGATAACGTGTTTCTTAAAATTAAAATTCGTGCCTTGAGATAACGTTAAACCTTACATCTGTATAGAGATCTATATGTACGTTAAATGGACATGCACACATAAAACATATATAATGGTACCACGAAATTTCTCGGGACACTTGTTGGTGGAAACGTATACAATTTATACGACAGAGACGCACAGTCTTTTGTAAAGCATTGATTATAAGGCAGAAATTATACTATACTAGAAGCTGGTATTATTATTATTAAATGCACCAGTTTCTGCATAGATCATTTTACGAATACAGCTAAAGAAATGTACACATAGTCAGACAAATAAGTTTTGTATATATTATAATTACGATTCGTGAGTCAAATGACTAAATATAGAAAACGAAGCGTATAGGGAAAACATATTGATATGAAATGAGTACAAAGAACGTATCTCTAGAGTAGATATCACACCGAATACATTATATAATTCAACTAAAAATTTAACAAAATTACGTATAAACCATATTTAACATAATTTCAAATAAATTATAAAAAGTAAATAATACTTTTATTCAATACTTCGTGGTTCTCATAATGTAACTTGGTAATCAACATAAAATTATTAATTTCTACTCTATCTTCATTATCTGTGTCACGTTGTGAATAGCTAAAATTCACATAATAAAGAAATTTAGATCATAAATATCTTTATAACTTTATTTAAAATGTGGGACGTGCGAATGTTTGTCGAACTTATCACAACACATGAATAATAGAAATATTTAAAAAAAAACTAAAATACTGCTTAAAATATTATACTACAAATATAGTATATGTAAGTATATTTTAGAAGAAAGTAGGAGCTACAGCATGAGGAATTCCAAGAACCAAGAACTTCTAGTTTTTAGATTTAATGTATCGAAATTTTCTAAGGTTTTAGACAACTGTAATATTCGTTGCTTGACTTGCTTGAAAGGTTCAAGAAATATTATCTTTGTTAGTAAAAATTATTTAATGTAATTAGAATCAGGATCTGTTGCCAAAAATGTAATTTTAAATACGATAATGCACAGAAAAAAGGACTTTCAGCAACAACTTAAAATACTAGTATTTGAATATATAATCAAAGCCATCAATCTGACTAGAACTGGCAGAAACAGTAAGTATGAATTCCAATAAGATATGAGATTCACATTCACGAATTGATTGTGACAATCTATCTAATCGTATTTATTGGTTTATGATAATATAATCTTCCTAAAATCCAGTACAAAATTTTAACATTTAAAGAAGTTTAAAGTTCTACTTTTCCTTTGAGAATGGTGGAAGAGTTGAATTTTACTGAATGAACTAAAAATCAAGAAAATTTAAAAATCATTCGATAAATGCTCGAGAATTATTTACGAACACTTTAAGCGAAATATGTAATTATTATTAAATATTAAAACATTTTAAACGTTCAAATATAAAATTAGCTTGATCTTAAGATGTCATACGTAATGGTTAAAATTACTCAGATTCTTATAAAAATAAATTTATAATAATAACAAAATATATGTTACGCTATGAAATAAAAAAAATCTACGGCGATGTTAATTATTATGTTGTCGATTGAACCAATAGCTTTTCTTTCATGTTTAATTTAAGCATTAGATTTTAGCATCTAAGGATAGAGGAGGGTAATTATTCCATAATAAAAATGAAACTAGTAATGAAACAAATAATTAAAGATTTGTAAATCAATACTGTATCATATTCATTCAGAAAATAAAAATTTGCCCTTTAACAATGGGCCTAACAAATACGTGTGGTAAAAAGAATTTGGTAGAATGTGGTAATTTTAGCAATTAAAAATCGAAGAATATAAATATACGCAATCATTAAAACATCCAACTTTTGCGATCGGTTTAGTATGTTAAAAAATAGCTTTTATGCTAAGACGATAATAAACCGTTTATTAGGATAATTAGTAAACAAACGCTACATATACATATGTCAATTGACATGTATTTGGAAACATCACATAGGTTGGTAACAAAAAAAGCGTCTCGGAATTAAATAAAAATAAAAATTCTTTGTAAGTGTTTTAAGAAAGCCGCATAAAAATTAGAATTAAATGAGTTAAAAATGATAAATCAATTGTACTTGATATTTAAATATTTATGTATTGTTTTTATGCTGTAGGTCAAATAGTTTTACCACAATTATGATTTATTATTGACAAATGATCATTGCCGAACTATATGTCCAAAAAACAATGAAAAGATTGTCTTTATTTATGGTACCTTGATCGCATAATGCAACATATAGCAATATAACTCAACAAAAAATGTCTTTGAATAATTATGTTAATAATCTATTAAAAAAAAAAAAACAGAATGGTTTACCAGATTCAGGGATTCTGGCTATAAGTCAAAAATAAAATTGAGAACAATGATTAAAACTATTTAAATTAAATTTCAATTAAACGTTTATTTAGATTTGTTAATAAATGTCTTGATTATTTCAGCACATAAATCGCCTCATCAAGTTATTAAATTACGTATCCTATGTAAAACCAAAAACTAAACTGCAATCCTAATAAAATATGAAAAATCTGTCATCAATAATGCTTTGAGTAAGTTCATACTTCTATATAAAAATCACTATTACATCAAACTTGTTTCTATTGAAGATTATTTTTTCTTTGATAATAAATTTGATAATGTTTAATTATTTTTATAAACTTGATTTTGTTACCTTATTATAAGATCTCTTAAACTTACATAATAGCATAATTGTACAAAAATTCAAACATACTAGATTAATTTATTCGCCGTTTCCAGCGTGATAACCTTAAAATGGTACAAAACTTTGAAGTCGGTAGGTATGAAAAACATTACAATTATTAAACAAGTTGCCGATTGAAATGTATCAATTACAGTATGAAGTACAAGAAATTATAACTTACCGAGCAGAAGCAGTTTAAGTTCCCTCCTGGCATCTCGTTTGTCCCGCCTGAGTTGCCGCTCGATTTCCTGGTTGATGCGCTTCTGCTCTTTGGCCTCCTCCGACAGACAGCACTCCATCTCGCCGCTACGTCACCTGAACAGGTATAACTTTTTATTATTAATACCGCTAATAATAAAAGTAATAAATTTAGTAATATTGGGTATGTGCACAATAAGTATAATATTAATATAATATGCGCGGCTCAAAGAATTAAAAAACATGATGTACTGATAAACTTTAGTACACTATAAATTCAAGAACTAATATACCGTCAATATCACGGTAGGGTTCGCCCGCAGGTAAGCGGTTAAGAACGATGGGACCTGAATCAGAGGTCCCGGGTTCGATACCCACTTCGAGCACCCTGTTGTCAGGCAGCAGTGACAACGATTTAAGTGAAATTAGCCCTTGCCCGACATTGCTGCACCAATAAAAAGTCAGTCCTATTAGATTAAATCTAATAACAAAAAGTCATCCAATATGGATGGATTAACCATTGGGTTACCATCTAAAAAAATACGAAGAAAGGATAAGTTTTAGCCCTATAGCTCATAGGACGTAAGGTTCTGATTGCTGTTAAAATATATATATATATAAAAAAATATCGCGGTTAAATGATTGGTGAATAAATAATGGTAAAAAGTAATGATTTCGAACTGTAGTAAAATGGTGTTCTTACTTTTGATAAGTTGCAAATTGATAATATGAATCAATTTTAATCAATTGCAGCTAAGTTTGTATAATATCAAAAGAAAGGACATTGGAAAAAAACGGAACCGTTTATTATAAAGATGTCGCTTCAACAAACTCCATGCAAAAATGGTAAGCGCAAGAAAAAATTTACACCTGACATGTCAGAATGCTTGGAACCAACTAGGTATCTTTTACATAAATTGCGAACAAAATATGTCTGTTGCGAACAAAAAATGGACATAATATATAAGAAATTTAATTTTATTTAGAAAATCGAGGCGATTCGCGGGTTGATTATAATTAAATATTTTTAAATTTCCAATTATTTTTAACGTATGTGTAATATTAATATTTGGGTTTTGAAACATTTTGCTTATTTATTGTGCGATTTATTCTGTTAAGCAAATCATGCCAAGAGAGTTAAAAAAACTAGTTTTTTATTTTCAATCATAACACTCGTATTTCGTGTTGGATTTTTTAAATTTTAATTTAATTTAATTTTTCATTATTTACAATATCCAAAATTGCGTCTCCTTATTGATATCGTAAGAGCCGAATTGTATTCATATGAATACAGTTCGGCATCCTTGCATTCCTGCCATGTTCAGAGAATCAAATTGTTGTTTTAAAGTTAAATTTTTAACGTATTTTAGAAGTACTGTCCAAAAATTTAAAGAAATAACGCATTTCTTGAACTATATTGAAAAAAAAAAAATTAATTATGTTTGATATGTATTATTTCTGCATCGTTAATAATTAAGAAAATTTAGAGTATGGATACCACTAGGTATAAAAAGAAACTTAAGATTTTCGTTCCAAAGTAAATTTTGCTTTCATTTTTCATATTTGTTCCATTTCCATAACCTTAATCACGCATGTCTTCAACATTCAAAGTTCATCAGATGCGAAACATTTGCAACAAAAACAAAAGCTACAATTCAATTTCTCGGAATAAACATGCCATTTTCTAACCACTGACTCCCCATTGTTCATTTTCCCGATTATAATTTGTTTATATTTTTTAACAAGTTCTGTTTCAACTAAATCAGCTCGCAATTTTTCATCGTATTCTAAATTTTATATAAATTTAATTCCGAAATTCGATTTGGCGCCCACTAAGACGTGCGCCCGCATTTTTTGCATGCATGGCATGTATATTTTTATATATATATATATATATATATATATATATATATATTTGTATATATATACAAAGCGATCTACACGAAAATAATATTCCATGATATCGAAGTCATCTATTAAACATTTTCACAAATTTCCAAGCTCTTAATCATTTTCAAGATTCCAAGCTGTTAATTATGCCTTTAAAGCAAATTTTTGAAGACAAATGATAAAATTTGAAGAAAATCGAATAAACAATGTATACAAATTGGACGGGACAGTCCTAGATTTCCTTGTATCCTGGAATTATTCTTATCAAAGACTGTCCAGTTTGAAAAAGTTTGTGTTATCAATATTTATTTTCACAAAATTTGCACAATGTGCATATTAAAATAAGCGACATGAAACAGACACATTAAAAGCAATATTACTTACTGAGGTTATTTACGAAAATAATAATATTAAAAGACCTTTATCTAAGTACATGTGGTTAAAAAATTGATTCATTCAGAAAAAAAACTTATATCCTTAAAGGGTTGGGTTATGTATATAAAAATCTTATGAATATAAAAAAGAAAAAAACTATATTTGAGTAACATAACTACAACAACCATACTCACGGCTATATTCTTCACGTGCCGGATTTGAAATAAACAAATATAGGCAAATAAAAAATATGCAAGTAAAAATAAAACGTTTACAATAATAAAATTATCAATTTTGTTTCAGAAAGTGTTCGATAAAACAAATTGGCAATTTATCGGACAAATGTTTCCTGGAATTTAGTATGAACAACTATTAAAATTTAATAAAAACTCCTTACCGACGCGTCACCGTCACCGTCTTGATCACCAGCAAGCCGTGCCCGTCTCACCGGCCGCCGCGTCACCGGCCGACGAACCACTTCACCAGCGAGCGGCCTCTGCAATAAATGATTAATGAAAAAAAAATTAGTAACAAATTAATAAAATAAAGAAGGCACTAAAAGTTGCTTTGCCTAATGACACTTTTAGGAGTAAACTACACGAAATTCATTTAATTTTTAACCATTTGTGATGCGATTACTATGCAAATATGAATTAAAACTGAAACTTGGCATTTTAATTTAAAAGTATAATACATTTTTCTTTCCAAATTACTTCTGCAAAAACCTAAATAAACATACGAATATACTATAAGAATGCACTGCCTTCTGCCCTGATATCAATATCCAATTTTCATGCCCTGATAACGAATTCGTGAACACCTGAATATTTTATTACCTTGACAAAAAAAAAGATATACTTAATTTTAATCTTCGTTTACATGGTGTGCAATTCAACTTAAATTACATTATACAGCCTAATGTATATCACAAATTTAATAAAAAAAAAGATTAAAGTTAATAATAATCATTCATATTGCGCGTTATATAGTATGATGAATTATCAAAATATTATTTCAAAAATGCTCGGACCATTTAAATTTCTCAAATTATCACTAAAAAATTACCACCAAAATAAATTTAAAACGTTATAATTAATATATTAAAACAGTATTATGTTTGATAGTAAATTTCCTAGTTTTGTGATACTAGTTATTCATATTTTGTAAATATCTTTAATATAATTGAAAATTGTACATAAATAGTTGATAGAAATTTACCTTTCTAAAATAATTTAATTATGATTTATGCAACGAGTATTAATTTACACATTTTTATTTGATTAATTTTCATATATTTTCGTAGAAGTTTTTTTATATATAACTACATTAAGAGAATAAGGAATTTAATAAATAAAATATTAAAATACTATTTGAAACTATTTTCAATTGAATTTCTATTAAAATACGGCGATTAGATAAAAATAAAAAACGTATCGAGAATTTTAACTATTTGTCTATAAAATTCAATATTAAATATCTGTGATGGTAATTATTTCAACTAAGAGAGTTTTGTGAAGTAAATCTGTGTTTATGACTTATAATGATCAATTTATAACCGCCAAATATATATAATATGTATGCATGTATCAAAATGTTATTAATGAAATCGATAATTAAACTCAAAATCTACCTAAAACTCCGGTAACGATAAACAGCTTTAACTAAATTCTCTAAATATGGTCATATGACTCTTGTAAAAATTTATGTAAGAAAATGATTATGCGTTTTTATTTATAGAAATAACACAACAGAAATTTTAAGAAATTCTTTTAAACTACAGTTTCGCTATTTATAAAATGTCCATTGCACGAGGTCCTCACAAAAATATTATAATACATACCGCCTAGAAATAAATTTTATCGCATGATATTGATTTTGTAATGAAAATTTTGGCCTAAGTCTCAAATGTAACTCGAAATGAAATTCTTGTGAACAAAGCCGATAATGAACACTAAAATTATACTTCACCAGCCATTCATCTCTAGTGATTTGAGAAGTGAGTGTGAAAGCATCGATGTCTTTACTTATCAATTTCACTCTCACGTGCAACAATTTGCAAAGCTCGGGCCGTTAACATGCGAAAAACACAAGATTCATGGAAGTATCTAATTTGACATCTTAATTATGATGAAACACTCACTAATGTACACCAGAGACGTCGACCTTTCGACGTTTTTAAGACTTCGGGTAGTATTTTCGCGGATTTTCGAAGCAAGCGCACTAAATTATCGCGAGATATTTGAAAGTTTATCGGCGCACGCGCACTTGGCCAAACACCACCCTCACGTATTGGGTGTGGTAACTCACTAACAAGCGCCTACCCTGTCACATTACTGACCGTCTATTGTACAAGCACGGTACGATTATGAATAACTGCACAATTCGAGAGAATGCCACAATATCATAATCTAATTATTCTAATCCTCATCTAAGCACCAATCGCTTATGATAGGTGCGCATGCACAATTTTCATTCAATGCTAACACCGATAGCCGACTGCCGGGGGGAGCACACAGATTGGAACAGCCTAAGTTTAGGTTACGATTTCTTCGATACATTAACTATACACAAAGGACGCCGCACGTTTTTATCACAACACACTGCATACCTAAATAAATATCCATGCGGCATATAATTCCTCCTCCGTTGGATATTTTGCACAACACTTTAATAGTTCAATTTTAATTGCACGGCAGCCGCCTCAATACTCAATATGGCGGCGTCTCTATCACGATGTCAGGCACAGATCAAATACATTTCATGTCAGAATTGTCCCTGAATTGTCGCCGTTCTCAACAGTACGGCAGAAGAAATTTGCCCGCACCTGGCATCCCTAATAGTGGCAACACTAAGAAAAGAAACTTTTATGTTACAAACATAAAACAACTTTATTCAATTCAAATTTAACAATTAGCGGCAATGATGTTAATATAAAATAAATTCATATAAATAATAAGTAGAAATATATTTTTACGTTGAAAACTAATACTTCATTTTTTCTTTCACTTAGTATAAGCACTGTACACTACTAGTAAAAAAAATAATAAATAACTTTATACAAATTATATAAATATATAAATATATAAATATATATTTATAATACTATAGTTCAAATATTTAAATATAATATTTCAAAAATATTTGTGATATGATTTTGTATTACAATCAACTATATATTAACATAGATAATTAAAAGTTTTGATTTACAAAATGATTTGAATATTATTCAATATTATATGAAATGTACGGACAACGAATATTAAATACTATTAATAAGTGTATTTAATATTCGTAAAATGTATAAGAACAACGTATATTAAATACTATCAATAGATTATAAATTGCTAAAATCATTAATTTTTATTTCATTATTATTTCTCAAGTATTGAGAAAATGATACAGTTTAATAATATTCATGCAGAATTTACTTTTGTATGCGATCGCACTCTTTCTTTTTTAAATCATATTTAATTATAATTAAATTATTTTAACATTATTATTATTTTAGAATACATTGATTCTAATAAAACGACCAACATCTTATTAATGTTATCCTTGAACTAATATCATAATTGGATTGTTTACAGTGTTGGCCTTCATTTATAAGGTTTCTGACAGAGATTATTCTCCAAAATGTGATTATTCTAAAAATGCAAGAGTCGGATGAACCTTACACTAATCTTGTAAATAGAGAATTATAAATTATATTTTCTCAGACATATATGTCATTTGTAAAGAATGAATACAAAATTTTATTATTAATATTCTTTGAGACTATCAAATTCAACAATAATATCCGCTTATCTCATTGCTGAACTCTTTATTAAATTTGTACATTGTTATGTGATTATTCTTTACAAGCGCATCAATTGTAACATCCGAAAAAATAAAATGTGCTAGATTTGTTGGCATAGAAAACTCAAATAAAATTCATTCGATCTGTTAAAATCATAAAAATAATAACCAGATATTTGTTAAAATTTGCCTAAATATTTAATGCTAAGATATAATTTTATATATTGCATATATAAGAATCAAATTATAACATTTATAACTGGAGTTAATATAACATATATTATATAATACAATATATTTCTATAAAATAACTGAATATTCAAATATATTATGAATGTTTGCAGGTTTTTAGTAGTTTACAAAAATTCAAATTGCCCTATTTTTAGCGCCTATACAGATTGACAGCTACCCTGACATGTTCCTGACAGATCTGGCAATATTATTGTTTGCTAAAATGGTGAATGAAAGCTATAAGTTTGTTTTGCGTTCATTATGACACCTAAAATGTGTAAATAGTTTATGTTGAAATATTATTTTTACATACATGCTTATGTAAAATTACTGAATACCACTTAGAAATCTGGAATTTAAAAATGTAAATAAAAATTATAATTTGACATAAGTTGATTGCCGACGGATAAAATGGCGTCTGATAATGAAGCCTGTGTAAATGATCCAAATTTTGCAGTTATTTGCTCATTTTTTAATAAATTTGGTAAAATATGTGGTGTCCAATTGCCTAAAGTAAAAAGGGAAAACCTTCATGCAATGCTTAACAGAGCCAAGAAGGTATGTATTTGCATCTAATTATACCTGTCATGATTAGCAATGTTTTCATTATTTTGTTTTGATTTAGTTCATCCAGCATTGATTGATCTGCACGTTAAATTATTACGGAAAGCACGAAGAACTGTCCATTTAGATAAATGGGAACGCGCCTTGGTTAAATTTATTCACACATACTCTAATCAAGATGCCTGGAACTTAGAACATTGGGCTATAAGAAACTAAAACTCCCGCAACGACTGTTTATTCTTAAAGTAATAATATCTTTTTAATAAATAAATATTTTATCATTTTTAGGTAATAGAACATTGATGTGGTTTTTTTTATAGAACTTATTGGAAATGCAATTTGATATGCAAAATTCAAGAATGCATTGCTGCAATCTTCGGCTGACGACTTAAGATTAGAGCCTATTGGAAAAGATAAAAGGAAATTCATACTGTTATCAAGTTGATGAGGATTGTAATTTAAGAGTATATACAGAGAATTTAGATGAAGAATCATGGACACTGGTTGCCCAGTAAGTTCATACAATATAAATATTATCTGCAAGAGTTGTTGATAAATCTTATTTTTTCTGATAAGTTTATTTTGTGCCTCAATATTTAATAATTTTAGTCTGAATATTCAATTAAAAATTTAAACCTTTTAGAATGTTTATATCCATTATTTTTTACTTTTAGAACCCGTGAGGAACTTGCTGATCTTATATCAACATTGGGTGGGTTGGAAAAAAATGGTTCTAACACTACAAGCAATGAAGATAGTAATATATAGCTACAATAAACAGTTTGCTCACATCAAAAAATAATGATGATTCTATAACAAATGATACTATTAAAATAGTTTCAGCTACAGATAAATCAAAATCAAAAGAAACTGAAGATTCTGAAGGTTTTTGAGTCCAGATGATGAGATAATTACTTTGATGATGATATTTGTTAATGATAATGCAAAAGATGGTATGGACGATGATAAAAGAGAAAAAGATTAATGGTAATGGAGTAAAAATCTGTGTGAATAATTCATATGAAAATAAGGCACGTTCAAAAAAGAAAGTGTAAAAGTTTAAGTGAAGAGGATCATAGTGTAAACAAAAAAATGAAAAAAAGACGTTAGTGATATAATCAATGATGAGCCGACTTCCTCAAACAATTCAGATGAGTCAGAATATGGTGCAGCTATTGAAGAACCTGTTATGATTGTGACTGTCAGGGATCTGGAGTGTTGCGATGCTGGCAATCCTGGTGAATCTGGAACTGCTGAAAATTCATTATCTGACACAAAAGGTGAGAAATGATTCAACAACTCAATCGGTTCAGGACAGCTCAACGGATGTGAAACTGCATTGAAATCTCCAGATGATGAGCAAAATAGTGGTGAATCATTAATAATAAGTGATACAAATGTTAAAGAAAGAAAAACCTTTGATGTATTTTGGACAGCCTGGTTGTTTGAAGTTGAATCCAGTGATGGTGAGGACAGCAGGACATGCAAACTTTTTAAATACAATTATTCAAAAATTCAAGACAAGTGGATGTGTGCAATGCCAATGATAATAAAGCCTTAACTACAAATTGTTCAGACTTAGATAAAGTCATTCTGGGCAGGATATTGCAGATTCAGTTCATTAAGTAATAAAAGTAATGAATATGCAATGGATACCAAAGTCGGGATGAGGATCGATTTTCTTTCTAAAGTAAAATATACCTTCAATAATGATTCATTGAATGAAAAATCTTAAGTGAAAGTTTCATCAACAAATCTTTAAATGAAACTACATTTAGCACTTTACTTTATGAAGTAACTAACTTGAGCATAATCACTCCAAATGCCAGCATTGCCAGCATAGAATCTTCATTGATCGATGATTCAAAATCTGCATTAA